TGCTTAACTAAATCACTTTCCTTTGCGAATCTCTCCTGGCAGAAAGAGCATTGATAAAGGCGTTCACCGCTATGGATTCGTATGTGACCAACTAAAAGAACCATCTGTGTAAATCTCTTAGGGCATACGGAACATTTCGGATAGCACAGACTGCTGTGAATCCGCCTATGCGTTAATAAACCACCACTGTTTGTGAAACTCTTTTAGCAGACGACACATTATTAAGGGCACTCACCGCTGTGGATCCGCATATGTCTAATTAAAGAAGCGGGGTGTGCGAAACTCTTTAGGCAGACGAAACATTTATGAGGACGATCACCGTTGTGGATCCGCATATGCACAACTAAAGTACCGCGGTGTGCGAAACTCTTTTGGCAGACGGAACATTTGTAAGGGCGCTCACCGCTGTGGACCCGCATATGCGCAACTAAAGTACCGCGGTGTGAGAAACTCTTTGGGCAGACGGAACATTTATGAGGACGATCACCGCTGTGGATCCGCATATGCTCAACTAAACTACCAGGCTGTGTGAAACTGTTTTGGCAGACGGAACATTTATAAGGGCGCTCACCGCTGTGGATCCGCATATGCGCAACTAAATAATCTTCTCTGTGAAACCTTTGGCAGACGGAACAATTTATGAGACGGATCACCGCTGTTGGTTCCGCATATTGCCAACTAAATTTTTTGCGCGGCTGTAAAACTCTTTTGCAGACGGAAACATTTATAAGGGCGCTCTCCGCCCTGTGGAACCCGCATATTATAACTAAATGCACTGTTCTTCGGTGGAAAGTCTTTGGCAGTCGAAACATTTATGACGACGTTCACCGCTGTGATCCGCATATGTGTAAACTAATGTCTGCTCTCTGTTGAAACTCCTCTGGCAGACCGAACATTTCATGAGGACGCTCACCGCTGGTTGATCCGCCATATTCAACCAAAATGACTGCTCTCCGTGAAACCTTTTTGGCAAAGGGAACATGATGACGGTGCTCGTCGCATGTGAGGCCTTCATTTTGCGCCAATAAACTACTTTTATGTGTACTACTTCTGTTTGGCAGAGATGACACTCATGAGAGCTATCAGCGCTTTGGATCTGTATTTGCCCTTCTCCTGAACTTTTCATGTTCATCTCCACCTTTCTCTTTTTGATCAACTCCAACTTCACACCCGGCGTTCTGACAAGACGTGAGTTGTTCGTCCACCCGGTTTGCGGGAATTCAGAGTTCCGGACTGGCCCAACTGCTATCTCTACGCTCCTCCTTGCTCGCAGAGGACTACTCGCATCCTTTACTCCCTTTTCGCCCAACGCTACGTAGTTTTCATCGTTGCACGAGGGTGTGCAGCCGACGCCATGACAAATTTGAAACTCTGAGTCTGAGAAGTCAGCCGTGGTATTGCATTCTCCACCTGTGGGAAGAAATACATAGTGAGCATGAAACTTATCAATTTGAAAAACGAACTCTCCAGCAGGACGGGTGTTAACTGATAAATCTCTGTCTATTTGGGAATTGGCCGAGTGACTTCATTGCATCAAATGTGTAATTATTTTATTCTTGGCTAGGGCCATTCATGGTCCAGCTTTCTGTTTAGGGTCCTCAGAGTCCTCTTCTTTATGGGAGGAAACCTGAATTCTATGGGCAGTGTAGTTGTAGTCAGTGGACTCCGGTGTTCTCTAAGTACGTTAAACGAAGTCGTGGTATATTATCCGATTAATACAACTAGTATGCTGCAATGTGGGATTGATCGATAGATCAACACACAACACATGTATTAAGAATGTAATATTGAATACGTTAGGTTCTATGGCATTTTCTCAAGTTAAAGACCAAGACATTCAAATTTTTACTCGAATTATGCACTAAAAGCTACAAGCAAACACATACCTCATACTATAAAACCGTACTTCTTCCTCAAGCTAGATGACGGTTAGCCAGTTACAGGTCATTATGACTAAAAAGTCAGCGCAAGGAAATAATTTTCATTCAGATTCACGATGATATTTTGGCTGCCTCTAGTGAGGAGTGTGTAAGCATGAGCACGTGGATGTAGATTTATGGGTAATGTCCAAAATGTGGCTATTTCAAGAATTAGCCGCAGGCTATATGCATTGCGCAAGAACAAACGAGTATATAGCTTTAACAGTTAATTAACTGTTGAAAAAGTACACTCAACAACGATACTGGCATTTAAGGTGACTTTTTCTAAATACTCACCAGCAGATATCTCACTATTACAACGAAAAAATTCAGTGTCCAACGCCAAAGGGTCCTGTAGAAGACAAAGAAACAATTAGGGAAATCCAGGAATATCTTATTGTTAAAAAAAATCGGACATAGACACTTTTTAAAAAATTGTTTAAGTACACTTTTCCAAAATTTCTACTCCAGGCAAAAGTGCACCAATTTTGAAAAAATAGTACATTACCTGATTTCATAATCTATTTTAAATAATTGGATTTCACTATTCCAAAGTTTATGCTAAATATTGTAGTAGAACAAAGTAGAAATTTGTTTTCCTTTCCAATTTTAGAAATTCAAAGATAGTTACGAAAACAGAAACTATGCCATGTTTATGTGCTTACTTTGTGTATATACATTTTGGTAAAAATGTTGAATTAGGTGTGGCTCCTAGCACAGGCCAAAGGACAGCACGATTTTAAACTGCACTGGTATGGCACTAGTATACTATTATAAATTGGCACTAGTATGCGGTGCCAGCTAGCGATTGTGATTCAGAATGGTTTGGAAATTACGCGTTGCACAGAGTCGCCATTCTTTCGCGAAGACCGAGGAAAAAATTGTCATGAAGTGAATCTCGAACCTGCAGACCTTGTCTTTCACTAGCCTTAGTGTCAGCTGACAAATATCCGTTTATCTCTCAAATTATATTCCTCATTATCGCAACGTTCTTCACCTACTCTAGCTACCATGTGACAGGTAATGTCGACTTCCAAGAAGTATGCTTCGAAAGTTCTAGTGATTATGGCGATGGACTAAAATTGGTTTTCTGGCATTTTTCATTAATTTCCCACAACACGGCCGCCCATATCATGGGGTCTCAAGAGAATTTTTTTTTGAGCCCTCCCCACCCAAACATTCAGTTTACTTAACACCTAAGCCTCTTTAATACTCACAAATAATGAACACAGACAAAAAAATACTTAAATTCCACTGGAACCAGAATGCCTGGCCCTTACCACATTTGTTGACGTTTATTCCCGCAACCCTTAAGGACTGTACTGGTCCGGTGAATTTGTTGGTTTGGTGGGTAGCTACACACACGTGAACAATTTACCCCGGGTGGGGAAAATACTCACTCCAGATTTGGGGTGAGAGAAGTATTCCATATATGTCAACGAGCATAAATTCAAAATTCACTGTACATTAACTTCACTTCTTATACATTGGAATGGGACATGCGGGTAGAGACATCAGGGGCGAGTGTGATAATGATTTCAGGGCAAATACGATTATATTATAAAATTGCATTCCAATCCGGTTACATGAAATCGATAAATTTGTAGTTTTCAATCAATGATTTCGGTAGAGAACGATTGCTGAGCGACCACGACAGGGAAGTTTTGAATGGACGAAATGAATCGACGAAAAACTGGGGGGAAATAGTAGTTTTCGGAGAACGTGTGAATGAACAAAAGGGTTTACCCCAGATTGTGTACGGTTTGTCCGCTTGCTGGTCACGATTTCTGCGTCGTTTCTAAACTATATACTATCAATGATGTTGCAAGATCGGCTCAACAGAATTTCGAGTTTACATGCTTATAGCGTCATGTGCGACAAAGTTGACTTGTAAAATTGTTGAATGAGTTTACATAAAAGATGCAAAGCGCAGTTGTATCTTTGGATTGCAAAAATGAATTCAAAAGAAGCTACATAAAATAAATGTCGAAATAATTCGCCGAGACTTCAATGACAAACTTGACAATTTGAAAAAAAAAACTACTTTGTATATTTCGCCTCATCTACATTTTGGGTGGAACAAGGAGGGGGTTACTGATATACAAGGGAGACTCCGCCTAGGTTCACTCGATCTTAAAACTAACCGTGGCCTCACTACCGTGCGGTTAAAGATACACGAGTCTAAGTCAAATAGTAACCTGTTTCATTGATCTCAATGTCAAGAACATCATTGGTATTTTTAATGACAGCTTTTTTTCTCATGAAATTATTTCTGCCAGCTGTTTTGAGTTAACTTGTCCAGAGTTCCACTGAAGGTAATGAATTCCGGCTTTGTCATT